CTCAGTGTTCTGAGCAGCCAGAATTACAGGGATGTAGCACCACACACAGCTTTCTGTGCCTTTTTCATCCATCTTCCACCCAGCTGCTGAAGTGATTGTTTAAAAGTACAGACTATTTTTTTTATCTCTGCTGAAAGCCCTCCAATAGCACTTCCAGTCATTGTTAAACCCCTTACCCTGGCAAGTCAGGCTCTCTTCAAGCCTTCCCCTGCTTGCCGAGCTCAGCCTTGCTACGCTTATGTGCACTTCTCTCACAGAAAACACTAGTTTGTCAGCCCAGGCTCAACCTAGATGCTACTCTCTACAGTAGCCCACTCCCCATCTCATTGCCTGTTTGATTTTCTCTGTTGATGCATTTTCTTTTATCCATCTGCCCAATGTATATTGTGCTTTGCACATCTGTGGTAAGCTCCTCAGTGTGACAGGGCCTTGTTCTCTACTGTCACCAACACCTAAAACAGCCTCTAGTCCAGAACAGGTGTGCACCATTGCACTATATAAAGACCCATCCCACTAGCTAGCAGATAGTCATGACTTTGTTTAGCAGCCTAGTAGGATTAGAACCACTCAGGAAGAACCAGTGTAATGCATCACCATGATGTCTCTATCCAGGCATCAGTCAGCAAGGTTAGTCAAAGTATCTGTCCCAGTAGAGCACTTGCCTGGCATTCACAAGCCCCTGGGTTCCATCTTCAGCAAGTTACACACACACGCACACACGCACGCACGCACGCATGCACACGAAGTGCTTGTTCCAGAAACAGCAATGAATTGCTGTTTTTCCTCTGAGTCCCAGCTTCCCGGGTCATGCAGCATTTCGGGACCAGTGCCAGCAGCCTGCACTTAGGCATTGAGCAGGGCTCTTCTAGCCTGTAACGGATCTCAGAGGTTTCCTGGTGGGGTTTCTTACCAGCAGTACAGCTTTCTAACAGTGCCAAGTCAGAAGCCAGCAGCCTGGGGAAGAAATTGATGCCTAGAAAGGATAGGCTTAGTCTTAGTGGCTGCTGTCAATTGAAGGTCATAGAGTTTGATGACTGGAAACCAGGTGCTTTTGTGACTCAGGCATGAAGGACCAGAGAAAGTAATTTTCTTTTTTGATGAAACCATCCCCTGTACCCCTCAAGAGTCCCTTTTCCAGAACCAGCACATCCTTGAGGCGATGTGAGAAGAAAGCAGTGGAAGAGAAACTTAATTAAAGTCAGCACCCTTTGAGTGTGGCCCTGGAAATATTTGCAAGTTAGAACCTAGGGCATGGGGGTGGGGGTGCCTTGCAGTGTTGGGCAGTTTATTTCTTTCTATTATGTTCCTCTGGGCAAAAAATGCCTTGTCTCATTCCATTCATTCTCTAGCTTCATTCTGCCTCCTAGTGCTCCACTTGGAGCAGCCTAATAGGAACCCAGCCCTAAAGACTTCTCAGTTACCTGTGCCTGCATTGTCCCGCACCTCCCGAGCTCCCTCTGACCTGGCGAGTGTGGAGGAAGTGTCTCGGGGGTGTTTAGCCATGGGATGGCCACATGATGGACCTTTGGGAGGTCAGCGCCCCATTGTGCCCCCTGCCCTCTCCTTGTCCTTCTCTTCCCTGTCTCCTTCCCTCCCCATTCTAGATTTCAGAAAAATTGTGACAGAAAACTAATTTGTGTTGAAAGATCCAAAAGATGTCAGAGCCTCTTGTGTCTGACCTGGTTCGAAAAGGAAAGACTAGAAAATCTCTTAGGTTCTTGATTCTGTTACTGTGTTTTGTTAATAAAAATCTAGGTGCTACTTCTTAAATAGGCCATAAAAGACAACAGTGGCGGGAAAGGATGACGTGCCCCCAACCCAGGCTTCCCTGCAGACCAGGCTCAGTCAGGCGGGGTCCCCAGTTGGGCTGGGCACAGGCCAGAAAAACACCAAGACAGAAAACAAGCAAGAGCCGTGGTTCCTGTGGCACTTCTCAGCTGGCAGTGTGCTCTGGGACGGTGATCCAGTTAAAGTGCCCAAATATTCCTGAGGCCTAGTTCAGACAGGCAAACACTGCTGCAGCTTTGAAGGCAGCCTCCCCAGCCAGCCCTTCCTCTTCGTAGGCATTTGCTGTCAGTGTTGCCAGCTGCTCTGGGTTCTGAGGCCCCAGAAACAATGTAGTCAACTCAGAAATGGGAGGCACAAACCCCACATGCGAGCACACTCACATAGCTGCCTTTTTGTTTTATTGTTTACAAAGCACTTGTCACAGAGTTTTGTTGTATTGGAAGAGGGTTATTGCAATTTTTATTACTGTTTAACAGGGAAAAAAAATTAGGTACAGAAAATTAAGGATCTTTCCCAAAGGCACAAATAGGAAAGGCCAGAACCACTGTCATCCCCAGCACTTTTGCTGTCTCTTGGCATGGGGAGTCCATGTCCACTAGAGATTTGGGCTGTGGCCAGCTCTTGGCAGTAAGCCAAGGCTCCCATGAGGATCCTGTTAGCAGCTGCTCATGGCTGGGAATGGGTGAATAAAGTCAACAGCCCTGCCTTGATGGCCTTTGTCTTGGTTGCCCTTGGGAATTCAGTTGCATCCTGCACATGTACCCCTCACGCCTTCCCTGAGCCTCAGCACTGCCTGCACCTGCCTACTTAGTGTCTGTCCTGTCCTTTGCTCTTGATGGTCTCAAGGCCAGCCAGACCCAGTACAGCTGCTGGGAGGCCTTTGTTCATGTTCAGTGAGTACCCTAATTTAAGTATTGCTTCCTCTTCTTTAAAAGAAAGTCAGCCAGCCGGTCATGGTGGCTCATGCCTGTAATCCCAGAACACGGGAGGCTGAGGCAGGAGGATTGTTGTGAGTTCAGTGCCAGCCTGGGCTACATAGTGAGTTCAAGGTCAACCTGAACTGCATAGCGAGACCCTGTCTCAAAAAAACAAAAATGAAAAATAAAAAAATAATAGCCAGAAGGACCACAGTTGCTCAAAGCCTCATACTCCCTTCTGGAGAGAACTGGGAGCTCTCTCTTGAAACATGCCCCATTTCCCTTACACCTACACAGGATGACAGCATAGCACCGTCTGTTACCAAGCTTCACTCATCTTTTCCCCTGGCTCTCCAGAAGTTGCATCATCCTGCCATCAAGACCCTGATCCCCATGTCTCGAGGTGCCCCAAGGCCCAGGGAGCCAAGGTGGAGGGGTGTTTGGCTGCAGTGGGATGAAGCTGTTGTTTGATTTTTGTTAGTAGCCCCAACTTGAGAATCTCAGTCTTTTGGTGATAGGTGGAAGTGAACTATTCTGTTGTATGTCCACACCTCCTCACCCCAAGTTCCCCATTTTCTCTCTTTATCAAAAGAGATCATCGGTGCCTGCTATGTCCTTCTGAGGAAATCTGAAAATTGTAGTTACTTGCTAAACCTTCGACTCTGGCTCTGAAGGCTTGAATCAACCAGAGAGCAGCAGCTCTGCCCTGTCTTCTCAGTCATTCTTGCCTCAGTGAGTTTTGACACAGCAGCTTAGCTCCTGATACAGATGGGATGGTAGTTACTAGTTGCTGATAATACACATTAACTACCATTTTATTGAGCATTTGCTCTGTTGCAAGCATTGTGTATATATGATTCCATTTAATCCTCATAGCACCCCTTCAGAGTAGAGAAGATTTTCTTTCTTTTTCCTTTTTCTTTCATTTTTTCTTCTTTTCAAATCGGGAAACTGAGAATTGCCAGGTCTGTATGGCTTGCCCACAGTCACACAGCCAACCAGGGACAGGATTTGTACTGAGCACCCCTAGGCTCAGAGCCTGTGGTTTCCGTCCAGCCCTTGATGTAGGCATAGGGTTAACAGCTTCAGGATTGGCTGGCAAGCAGGTAAGATGGTGTGTGCCCCACAGAGTGCTATTCAGAGGGAAATTGGGACTGAAACACAGCAGAGGAACATGTTTTCCTGAACCTGCTAACATTCTCACTGTAAATGTAATAACCTTACAGCGACACACACACATTTTCCACAGTGCAACAAAAGAAAAAATCAGTGCAGAGATTCAATTATGTCTCCCATTTTCAGTGGCAGTTTTGCTCTCAAAAGATGAATTAGCACAGAGACCTCCCCCCCAGGCAAATTGCGGCACACTTTACGGCAAGACGGTGCATTAAAATGCAGTGGTGTCTCATTAAGCATCCAGCCTAGCTCCTTGCCAGTGGGCCTGCCTGCTTTGGCCTGCCCCCCCCCCATCCCCTGCCTCGGAGGACCGCAGGAGGCCTTGTTTGATGACACTGACCCCAAAGTGGGAGCAGAGCAGCACCTTCTAAGGGGACCCTATATGTGGCATTTGATCTTGATCCTTGGAGGAGTTCAGGGCAGGGCCTCTCTGGTCATCCCAGCAGAAGCAGCCTGGCCCTCACTGGGTGGCGAACACCAAGTAGAACTAAGAAGGGAAGAGCTAAGGGCACTTAAATAGCTTCTAAGGGCATGCTTCTAAGTAGCTTGCTTCACCCTCACAGCAGCCCTTGTGGTCGTTTCTCTATCCTTTTTCTTCCATTTTCAGGTGCACCTTTGGCATTTTTGAGGTATGCACAGGATACATAACTTTCTCTCACTCACCCCCACTCAACAAACAGCCAAAAGTGGGAAACATGGCATCGTTGTATTGCTCCTCCCCCAGCATTGCTCAGCAGATGTGTAACCCATCTCAGATTGAACTCTAAGCTTCTATCATTTCTTCTTCCTTTAAAGTCTTGTTACTAAATCCTGGCCCTAAATGGCAGTATTTCTGTCACCAAACCCCCAGCATACTTTCCCTTGATAGGCTGTTGCTGTGTCCTTTGCATTTGCTTTCATTCACATCTAAACCAGCATGGCCCTTGGGGCTCTGTACGGACCGGATGGGTGTGGTTGGCCGTTAGGGACATTGGCCAGGGTGGCTGCTCTGGCCACCAGCTGGGCTCATCGGCTTGCATTTGCTGTAGCCAGTTTTATTCCTGGGGCAGGGGATAGTGCAAGGAAGGCCCTTTGTCTTTCTGGATTCTACTGACAAATGCTTTTTTTATCTCCTTCTAGGTACATTGAACGGAAAGCTTTTCTAGAGCGCGTTGACCACAGGCAGTTTGAAATTGAGCGAGATCTCAGGCTGAGCAAAATGAAACCTTGATGTTCAGGGGAGAATCAGTAACAGCTCAATCCTGTTGACAATGTGAGCTTTCTGTGCATCTGTGAAATTCTTCCAGTCTCCTCCTCCACTGTTGCCCAGCAGTCTTTTTCTATATGAAATTTTGTTTGTGTATCTTGATCTCACATGGTTTCACTCATTTTATTTTTAAAAATCTGTCTTTAAATAAGTAAATAAAGTCAGTCCTCAGCAAGGCTGGAGAAAACAAAGTCCTCACTTGCTTTCCCTTTATTCTGCTGCAAAGTCCAGTGTGAGGCCAGCTGGGAAGGCGGAGGTCTGGCTGGCATGATGGACAGAGCCGACTGGCTGGGTTGGAGCCTTCTGGGGCCTCCACACTCCCCAGAGTCAGCCCTGTGCACAGACCTGGGGAAGGAGGCTCACCAAGGCTGTGGTGAGGTCAGGTCCCTGGGTGGTGTTCTCTGTTCTCAGGCTTCTCTGCTGATCTGTCTCCTGGATGAGATTCTTAAAGATACCATGTAAGGCTGAAAGTTAGGATACATTGTTTCTGAATAGGGTCCCCCTACTTCTGCCTTTCTCTTCTTTTCTTTCCAAAGAAAAGTCAACGTCAGATGTGTTATCATCTAATTCTTTAAGTCTGTGGCTTGTCAAAGAATATTCTAAGGCCAGGGATTTAGCTCAGTGGTTTCGCCACCTGCTGTGCAAGTGCAAGGACCCCAGTTCAATCCCCGGTACCCAAAAAAAAAAAAAAAAAAAAAGAATATTCTAGAAAAACTCCTTTTGCTTTCTGTAGTAGCGCACATGTGTGATCCCAGCACTCTGCAAGCTGAGGCAGGGGGATCGCTGTGAGTTTGAGGTCAGCCTGGGTGACATAATGAGTTCAAACCCAGCCTGGACTACACAGTGAGACCCTGTCTCAAAAAAATAGACTCCTTTATTTATTATACTCCTTAAGAAATGGTTACTAAGGAAGCTATTGCAAATTTGAGCCCAGCCTGGTCAACTTAGCAAGATCCTGTCTCAAAAATTTTTTTTAAAGGGATATAAGGATATAGCTCAGTGTAGAGTCCCTGGGTTCAATCCCTAGTAACTACAAAGAAAATCTAAATTTCTGCCTTCTGGCTTAGAATTAGATGTTCTCTAGGGAAAGGAGAGAAAGAGTAGCGCACAAATTTTTGCTGAAGAGGGAAGTTGGGGTAGAGACCTTTCATGTTAATAAAGCATGAAGGAGCTGGGGATTTAGCTCAGTGGTTCTGTTGCCTGCCTCGAAAGCACAAGGACCAGAGTTCGATCCCTGGTACAAATCCCCAGTACAAATCCCCAGTACCAATAAAGAGAAAGAAAGAGAGAGAGGAGAGAGGGAGGAGGGAGGGAAAAGGAAAAGGAAGCATGAAGCTCACAAACTGCTCTGGGGATGGGAGGCTGAAGGGGTGAAGCTGGGGTTCCACAGACTGGAATCTTCTTTCCTGCTCAGATAGCTACCAGCTATGTGACCTTGACCACCAGTCAGTTTCTGGGCCTGGGGAGGTTAAACAAGCTAGCAACAGTCTGCTGGGGCCCATCCAGGCCTATGTGGTCAGTGTTCGTGGCAGCTGAACGTGCTTCCCAACACTGGATGGTTAGGGCATTGGAGATACTACTTCCCATAAAGGTAGTTTACAAGCTACATTGAACCCACTCTGTCACATCCACTCTGATAAAGGACTTTCTCAGAGTGGCAAGAGACCATTTCAGACCAGCATCAGAACAGGTGGCCTGTGAGGTCTTGGTTTTTCCTGCACTGGGACACAGGAATAACAGGAACATGCTGTAACCTAAGCCCAGGCAACGTTTTGATGAGGGTCGGACTCCCAGACCCACAGCAGGCACCAGCTGAGCTTCAAGGTGAAGGCCCTGCCTGCAGTGCTGTCTGGCCCATGACCCTGACCCATCCCACTTGGCGGACTGCTTCCCCAAGTGCCCTCTAGAGCTCTGCACTCTGCTTCACAGCTTTCATCGCAACAGCTGCTGCACCACCAACATGTGAGCTCTGTTTGAAAACAGTCTGGGTCCATAGAATAAATGGCCCTGAGTGCATGGTGAGTTAGGGTTCTTCATTCACAAGTGCCCACACCTTTGAAGCCTGAGCAGTAGACAAAAGCTGCAGGACAGGTGAGTTTGCTCTTCCTGTGCTCCAAGACATGGAGATTGAAGCACAGTAGTGAGGGGTCACAGCTGAGTGCCTGGCTGCCTGCCTTGAGAGAACCCAGTCCTCTCAGAGGCTTCTCCTTCCATGCCTTGCACTTCAGTAAAGGAAGCTCACAGCTCTGTGAAAAGGTTGCTTCCTTTTTGGCCCTCTTGATTGGGCCACATTTTCCCGCCAAGTGCACTGCACACTCCCAACTCCACATGATGAACTGTACCTGTGAGTCTTTGGAAAAGCCCCTTCAGTCTTAGTCCTTTTTGAAGGGTCTGGCCGTTATCAGGAAGTGCGTAGCCATTCTTGCAAAAGATGCCCTTCATCCAAAGGTCCCACTCACATCTTAAACTGAGATTTGCCATGACGCCAGCCATCTCCCTCTTGGTCTGCGTGGACCTCCGCTGTTTGTTTGTTTGTTGTCACACTATGTAGTTGAGGCTGGGCTTGAACTCACCATATAACCCAGGCTGGCCTCAAACTTGCAGTGATCCAGGGCCAGGGATTTACCTCAGTGCTGCCGCTGCCTGCCTCACACGTGCAAGGTCCTGAGTTCGATCCCTGGTACAAAAAAAAAACTTGCAATGATCCTCCTGCCTCAGCCTCCCAAGTGCTGAGATTACAGGTGTGCACCACTATGTCTGGGTGGAACCTCATCTTTAAAGCCTCCTGGACTGAACACACTTGGTCTCATTAACAAGCCACTTGCCCTGGCTGGTACCTGTGCAGGTACACATACCTATGCATGTACACATACCTATGCATATACACATGTGTCATCCCTCAGCCTCACAGCAGACCTTCATTAATGTCTCACTGGTCATAGGTGTAGGTGACCTGGAAAAGTACTCAGCATTTCCGGCCTTTACTGTGAAAGTCAGGCTGGGAGGAGGGGAATTAGACCTAGATGATAGGTCAGCCACCCAGAATACTGGGCACATTTGGTCTTTGTTATAACCAACAGCATTTTTCCCAGAAAAATTTTGCCACAAAATTGGGTTTAGAGATGAAACAAGATGGGCCATATGTTGATAACCATTGAAGCTGTAAGTGTATTTGGTCCATTATACATTTTTAAACTTGTTCCAGAGAGGCAAAATTGAGTTCTGCAAGAAAATACTTTGAAAGCCAGGGATTTAGCTCAGTGGTTCCACTGCCTGCCTTGCAAGCACAAGGACCTGAGTTCGATCCCCGGTACCAAAAAAAAGAAAAAAGAAAATACTATGAAGTTCTCAGAACAGGGCCAGAAAAGTGTGGAAGTGGCAGGAATGTAGGACAGGGGATCCCTGGTTTAGGAAGGACCTCTCTGTCTCCTAAGATCCTGTGCCTGTTTTAGCAACTCAGCAACCAAGCTTTGCATATTCTGTCACTTCATCTTCCCAGACTTTGCCCCTCTGATCCCTCCTGTTCACTCCTTACTGTGGTGGATCAAGTTCAAGGAACAGAGGAATTGGCTGACAAGAAAGGCCCCTGTGGGCACGAGCAGCTTTTTCTTGCAGGTATGAACCAGCTCCAGGAGCCCAGAGTCTTCTTGGCCCTTGCACGGCCATTGCAGGTGGCTGAGCACTTGGCTGCAGAATGCACTTCCTGGCACCAGGCAGGGGTCTGAGCAGATGGACATCCAGGGAGAGCTCCTTGGGCATGGGTGCACCCTTGGGCCTTCCTCTTGGTCATCCCGGCTGCTGCCTGAGCACACCAGTGCCTTTGCTGGCCTGGCCTCAGCTACATTGCCCTCTGTCCCATCCTCTTCTTGCCTCACTTTCAAATGCCTGGCCTTCTCCAATGGGCCCACCCGGGCCAGGGGCTACTGGTTAAAGTGTGTTTATCTCCTTCAATCAAGAATCACCTTTTTAGGGGCTGGGGATATGGTTCAGTGGTACAGACAATGCCTAGCCTATGCAAGGGCCTGGGTTTCATCCCCAGCGCTGTTTAAAAAAAAATGACGTGTTTGATCAGATCTTGTTTGAACCATGGCAGACCAGCTAGCCCACAGTTTGTGAGAACAAGGGAATAATATTTTATCTAGTTCTTCACATCCACATTTAGTGAAAACCAACCTAATGGAAAAGATGTATCTTTATCCAGGAGTCAGGAATTGTCAAGGAAATGTTTGCAGGAGGTGGGAAGTGGAAAGAATGTGTCAGTGCTCCGGCAGATTAGCAGCCGTTTGCCAGGACCAGTGTTCCACCCTCACCGTGGCCTGAGTGACTGATGCACCAAGCCAAGGTCAGCTCTCAGCTGTCCTGCAGAGTCCAGGGACCTGCCAGGAGTGGAGTTTCCTGGCTGTGCCCTGACCATCAGTCCTGTTTCTATGTCCCAGTTGACTGGATCAGGTTTCCAAGGCATCTGGTACTTTCTCATTTCTGAAGAAACTGCCCTAAAACACTGACTGTAAGGTCGAAGAACCTCTCCCGATGCTCCACTCCCCTGCGTCCTGAGGAACAGAGTGCTCTAATTAGGAACTCTGCACAAGGCCTCTCAAGGGGCTGAGGTGGGGACACGTTAAGAACAACCTGGAGTGAGCTCCCTGCTGTCAGAGCTAATGAGGAGGAACTGGGCTGAGGGCCCCAGCAGATGCTTCCCCTGGGCTTTGTCTTCATGGACCTGGAGGACAGCAGATCAGCTGAGCGGCTGGCACCACAGGAGGACGAGGGGCACCGCTGGAGAGGAGTGGGCCATGCTGCTTCTCTGCCAAGAAGGTGACAGACCCCAGGTGCTATACTGCCTCCAGGCCCCAGCAGAGTAGAGGCGGAGTGGGCGGTGTGGCAGGATGTATGTGAGGTGGTCCAAGTGGCTGTGTGTGGTGTTGGTTGGTGCTGTCTGGCAGGGCCTGGTGCAAAGGGCCCAGAGCAGGCTTCCAGCAGACTTCTGCCTTTGGGTGTGAGCCCCTTGCCAGGGCTACAAGTATTCACGCATGTTGGTAACACTAATGGCACAGAACTGAACAAACAGGAAGTGGTGTGTGGGTGGTGGGCTCCTGGGCAAGGACCTAAATAAGCTGTCACATTGTCAAGACGCATGGCCCATTTTCCAGAGGAGAAAACTTGCCTGAGGTCACCCAGGAACTGGCCAGTG